AACAGTGAGGTTTTTCATTCACCACTAGAACTTATTAGTTGGGCTGGACAACGAGAAACAAAAATTATATGAAACGTCATTTATCTACGCCGTACAGAGCTTTAAAAGTTACAGTTTAAATGCAAGAAGCCGACGAAGCACTAGAAACCCAACAGGCCTAAAATTTATGCATTTTGGATTTAAAATCTGAAGACTTTTAATTTTAGTGCTTCGCGTTTAAGCCGTAATTTTTAAAGATTTTTATTCGATCATTTTAAGAAAATTTCAGTAAAGGAAAACTTTCTTTACTGTTCAAATACTTCGCCTTAAGGCCTCAATATTTGTAACGATAAGTATCCGATGATGATTTTTTGTTGTTGAGCGTAAAGCTACACACAATGGGCTATCTTTGCTCTGCCAACAGCGATTTTGTGTTATAAGGCCTTAAACTTGCGGTGAGCCACAGTGGGCGCTCCTAATGAAGACGAAACGAACTATCGAACAATAAAGAAAGTTTATTTTATCTTTTTTGCTGGAGTTATTGTGATAAAATAAATCTCTTTCCCAAAATACCCCAATTAGTATTATAGAAAATTAAGAATACAAATATTTTGTTTTGAATGAGATGTGAAGTGACGATCAGTACTTTTAACTGGCCAATAGGGTTGTATGTAAAGTTTAAAAATCAGAGTAATTATAAATTCTATCGAGTTTCTCTCTGTGCCATATTTATATCTCACATCTGAGTACTGTTGTTTCTTCAGAAGAGCACTACTGTTTCACGAGTTAAAATGTTGTGAGAACAGTTTTCAATTCGTTAAGATCGTTTTCTTTAACGTGAAATTTAAGGCCAATATTTATAATTGAAATTATGCGTACAATACATAATTAGTATTTTTAGTGAGCTAAACCTGTTGCGTATACATGCTCTTTGACTTGGGTTGAAGTGGTTTGTATATATTTCAATTATACTCATTTTTTGAAAATGTTTTCTCACTGTTCTTTTATTTAAAAAAAAAAAGCAATAACAATAATATAAACATGTTGTTAATAGATGTCAGAAAAGCTTATCAGTTTTATTTTAATTTTTAGATAGTTCAATTTTTAGTGTGGTCAATTTAAATTAGTTTTTCGTTATTTGTTCACCTACACATAAAAGATCTAAACGTATCACAAGTCAGCTTCGCTAAACTACCAATATTAACAACAAATGAGAGGGCGCGTTTTAATCATCTATTTATGCACAACAGCAGTAGTCAAGGCGGTAAATTTAGGCCAGGTATATCACTTTAATACACTTCAAAATCTAGGGTGTAATCAAGAAGGAAGGGCAGCAATTGGAAAGTTTATCCCGCTTATCATGTTAGCAATAAAACCTTGATGTTTTTTTATATATGTACTATCTTCAGTTTACCATATTGCATATGATAACACTCCAACCGCTGTAAATATATTACTGAGGTCGTATATCAAGCTGTTAATCATAAAAACTTCCAGTCCTAGAATAAGTTATAATGTAATGAGAACAAATATAAAGCCATCCAAATCCAACGCCGTTAATTCTCTAGTAATATACGTATTTAACATTAGAGCTATTAATACGTATAACCTGTTACTACTAGCTCTAAAGTAAAACACAAGTATCAATGTTAAAGGATTTTGAGCGTAGGCCTAAACAAATATTTGCCGAAGTGGATCAAGCGTAGGCGACTATTTTGCTGTCGATCTGGTTTCGCTGCAATACATGTCTCAATTACTTTGAGTACTTTTACGATCTGCTATGCAAATAGATCCCGTTTTGTGTCTTCTTAATTTTATTAATTCTGCGCATTTTGAAATTTGGTTATAATCGGATGGAAAGCGATTGGATGCTGAGTGTAGTTTCCAATACACGCTAACATAAAATAACACCTTCGTAAAATCTCAGTTTTCAACCGATGGTTATACCAGAACATTAATTTAGGCTTACCGTCACTTTCAAAACATAGTAATACTAACTGGTATTTTTAAATTAATAAAACTAAATTTGAATTGCTGATATTGTTAGAACTTGGAAGTAATCACTGTTTTCCAATTCTTATCACCACTTCTGATCAAACAAGCTAATTTCATTGATAGGTAAAATTTTTAAAAAAAGAAGAAGAGGATATAATATAGGGACTAACTTAAATAGGACAAACGTTAGGAGTGTGGAATGTAAACAATTAACAATGTTCGCAAGAAAACTTTAGGCCTGACAATAACAAAGTTTTTAAACAGAGTTCAGAGAAACACATAAGATCAAAAGCAAAATATTCCCTGGCGCTGTGTCACCTTCCAAAATTTATTTTCCTATGTACAGGATACGAATACTTGTTCTTAGTTGGATAGGTCGGGTGTGATCTATTAATTTAGGTATGTGAATAACTTTGGACGTCGTGGGTTAACTATAACAGTAAAAGTCAAATCTCACTATTCGGTCTGACAAGAGCTGGTGGTGGATGCTGTTGACTAGCTGAATTCCCTCTACTTAATTTACAATATGATAGGGACGACCATGCGCAGATAGCCCTTGTACAGCTATGTTTACAAGATCCGATGACAAATACAGTTTACAATGGTGTTGTTAAAGTACACTACCTTAGCATTGGCCTTGACTGGTTTTGTTTGTTTATGGCAAAGCCACACTGGGCTATCTGCTGTGTCCACCGCAGGGAATCGAACCCCGGATTTTAACTTTGTAAGTCCGTAGACTAACCACTGTCCCACAGGGGGAGTCATCCTCGGCAAAGAACATATTTTGATGTGAGTGTTAATATGTTTAGTAATTTTTGTCGGGAGTATTTATAAATTAGAAGTTCTTATTTGTAATGACCTATCACAAGTGTTATTAGAGCTCAACCAAAATTTATCTTTTTCTTAACAACGTAAGTAACATCGCTGATTTATCAATATTGTAACATTAGTTTTCCCCATTAGAATAATGGTAATAAACACGGGTACTAATACAGACAGATAAGTAATTAATACCATACGTTTATGTAAGGTATTGTATAAGGTATCATGAACAGCGATAGTGGTTCATAATAGGGATCGCAAGGAATTGCACAAAACCACAGTGGAACGTTCGGGTAAAAAGCACTTTAAACAGTAAAGATTCAGTTCAAACAACACTTTAAAACCTTTATTATTTACTGCTAATGCTCTACACATATAAAAATGCACAAAACCAGCACGCATGTTAGACTTCCAAGGAAAACAAAACGGCCCGTTTGTAATTCTTCTTCTCTTGCCAGCCTACAACAAAAACGGCTTAGTATATTGCACCCACACTTTTTGTAAAATACTAAATAAGGTCGTATGGGTATCGAAAACGTAGTGAAAGTCGATTTGTTTCTTCTATATTTTACATAAGCTAAAAACATCATAATTCTAGTGTAAATGATGTTATTACCACTTCACGCTAACCTTTTTACAAATATCTGGTGTTCCTTTAAAAAGCTTAAGTACAGGATGAAATAGAAATTACCAGCCAATAATAGATGAACATTAGATGACTGTAACGTGTAGATACTCAATGTTTTGTACACTATGTCTTTAGGGATCTAACCCCTATATTATGTATGAACTGAAGGAGTATAAAAAGATCAATACACATAATATTAAATTTTGTTACACACATTCATAGAATAATTACTTTAAAATAGACGAAGGTTTATTTAAAGGGATGTTTTATTTCAAAAGGTTACTTTCTACTTTATACGCACTTTGTGAGGGTTATGTCTTTAGTCTAGGCACATATTTGCTCATTGTTATGCATTATATAATAGAGAATTTAGTTACACAGAAACTACAAATGATCCTTATAATCTCAAAAAAAACGACAACTCCAGCTGCAGCTTAACATTTTACATCTCGAAGTAATGCGATCAAATAGTCAATAGCTACAGTAAATCATCATGAACTGTGTCAGCTAGCTACTAGCTATGTTAATTATCATTACAATGTATCGAGTTAGCTATCACACTAAGCAACCCTTTGCTCATAGTTAAAAATGAAAAGCCAACAAACAATATAAATACAAAATTGGAAATTTAAAAACCTGCAAATAGGGATCGTAAAAAAGAGTAAAGAAACAAGGATGGAGATACTGTAGACATTATTTACTCAAACTACAAATCCCTATTTTGACTCCACCAAATGTAATTCTAGGTAACATCATGGAACAAAAATAGGAGTTTGTAGTTTGAATAAATAATGTCTACAGTATCTCCAGCCTTGTTTCTTTACATTTTTTTATTTATGATCCCTATTTGCAAGGTTTTTAAATTCCTGATTTTTTAAACTTGCATATAAAGGTGGCGTCACCTGTTGTCATTTATAAAAACTAAATATGTAAACGAATGCGGTTAACACTTTCTTACGAATTGCTCAATAAATACGTATTTATTTGTTTGATTGAAGTTATGCACAAAGCTACACAAACTTGTTCACACCAATCGAATCCATAGCGAGATGATTCATTTGCTCCATCCGAGTACTGCTTTGTCTTAATCCTTTTTCGCTCTTACGCAACATTTTAAGAAAATAAATAAATAAATATATAATTTCCCTCTCCATTTACTTACCTACATAAATATTTATTACGTCGTCTATTGAACTTTCCCCTTCCGAGAAGATTACAGTATAGTAAAAGGTAGCGAGATGATTTTGGGCTCTCCTGAAAAGATGTTTGTTTGTTATGAATTTCGTGCAACGCTACACGAGGGCTATCTGCACTAGCCGTCCCTAATTTAGCAGCTAATCATCACCACCCACCTCCAACTCTTGGGCTACTCTTTTGCCAATGAATAGTGGGATTGACCATCACATTATAATGCCCCCACAGCAAAAAGGGCGACCACGTATGGTGTGACGAGGAATCGAACCCACGACCCACAGAGTGCGAGTCAAGCACCCTAACCACCTGGCCATGCCGGGCCCCTACTGAAAAGAAGTAAGATAGCATCCCGCTCCACTTCAAGTACTGCATACATTAAACATTGTACTTTCACTAAAGGTTTATTACTTCAAAAAAACATGCCCACACACACACAAAATAGACCTTCAGAGACATTAGAAAGAAATTTATGGTTTCACAATGCCAGCAGCAGCTATTTAATCATGCTCATTAAAAATAAAACAATAATTATCAATGCTATTTATATATATATGTACAAAAATCTAAACAGCTTTTTATCTAAAAATATGTTTCTGGTATGATAAATGACACTGTATTAAGAAATCAAATACTCTTATGTTTCCGAGTCAACATTTTGTTTGTTTGATTTCTGTTTATCCCTTGCTGCTTGGAACTCCTCAGCTAAAGTAGACTTGGCTGATTCTAATATCCGTTCTGAAGACTCAGCCATAATGTCTTCAATTCTTGTTTGAGCAGTGGCTTTCTGCTTGAAAAATAAAACACAATGAAATTATTTTAAATTTGTAATGACAGAAAAGATTCTACATGATTTTAACTTTTATCCATACAACAAGATGTAGCTGACTATTTTGCTTATCCACTGTACACCTTGAATTACTACAATATTGATAACCTTTTATACAAAATTTTTGTATATTATAGTTATTATTATTATTTAGAAGTCTATAGTAATATAATAACTTTAAAGAATGAAAAATGCCAAACAAAACATTATATTTTAAATTACACATTTTTCAATACTGACTTCTTGATGATCAGACCTAACATTTGTGATAAAAAATATAATTTTTATCATAAATGTTAGGCATAATGATTTCCTATGAATTTGTGGCTTTTACCATTTAAAATGTAAACCTAGGGATTGCAACCCATAAATAAAATTTTAGAAATTCTGATAAAGCAAAACCAAATTCACAATAGAATACAGTAAGTTACCCCTTTTTTAATAGATGTTTAAGAGCTTCAAATAATAATGCAAATAGGAAGAACAAAAATTTTTTAATGGTTGCCACATGCTAGTCTATCATGGAAAGTTGCAAGATTACAAAATATATTTTAGTTAGCAAAACCAGTGATATGTTGTTTTTTTTATAACTTAATAATCATTATGATATTTTAGTCCATAACTGAGGAAATATCCGGCACATACTTTAATTTGTGGTTGTTTTATATCAAAACTAATTCCTTCTAATGACAGAGCTTCTTCAGTAGCCTTGAACAGTTGGTCCTCAAGAAAATTTCCAGACTTTTCTAGTTCTTGGTACTTCGTTACAAATCTATAAAGAAATGTATTCACAAATATTATACATAACTTTGAACCATCCTCTTGAAAATACAAGTCTTTTTTGTGAAATATTTTACCTATAAGAATATTATTTTGACAGCTGTTTATGATGGCTTAAAATTTGTCAAAAGCATTACTTACTTGATTTGTTTTAGTACGTTTTTCACCTTGCTAGCAAAGGTGGTGACTTGAATCATAATTAATTAGTTAGTGTGATTTTATGGCAAAGGCTGTACATCTACATCAATCACCGTGATTTACTATTTCTTAGCTGTCCAAGAACATTCACAACGATATAAATAAAAATGTATTTCACACTAAGTGGTGTCATTGGTCACGGTCGTTCAATTTTACATAAATCGCCAATCAAGGTTATTTTGTTACCATGAAAATAATTTACTTAGAAAATGGCTCACAAAAACACACTGATCCCCAGTAGGGACACTAATACCAGGATATTCAAAATACAGTGGAAATTAGATAAAATGAAGACACTTGGTTAGGTCGGAGATAAAACAACTTCTGAATGAAGGAAAATGTATATATGGTAAATATCAGAAAGCTGGAAAAAAAACAGAACTGAGATCTGATACAAATGGACATCTTACAAGAAAAAGAAGCTAAATGTCGAGACCAGAGCCGATCGTACAAAAAAAAATTAAATATCCAGACTATAACTCTTTCTCTACTCGTTTATATGTAAGGTATCATACTTGAATTTCCATAAGTAGCCCTTAGGGTTCTTAGTTATTATAGTTTTTTAACCACATTCTGATACAAAATAGAACTGAATGGTTAAAATGAAAAGTTGTCATTGTTTCTTTTCAGAAATATTAAGCCATTGTAGAATAAGAGTAAAAAAAAATATATATTTTGTTGACCTTGGTGATGTTTCCAAAACTAATGCTCTGAAACAACTAACAAAGACTTATCTTTCATTGTACCAACAAATTTTGTTTTTTACTTTAAATTTCTCTTCCAAGCTGAATTCACATTTCATTTTTTTTTACGACAAATCTGTCACATGATTTGAATTTTATTTTACAAGAATCATTTGTAAATTTCCTAACATTTTACAACTTTTATTAATGACAGTTGTAACATTAAAAATTAACAAAAGCATAAAAGAATGTAAAAATTAGTAACGTACCTTTCAGATAATAATGTTGATCGTGGGTTGTTAAGGTCTATTAAACCGGGGGATCCATACTTCTTGAAAAATTTTCTATGATAGTTAAAATACTTAAAATAAGTTCAAATAACCTAGAAAATTAAAAATGGTTTTCCAACAAATTCATTCCCTTAACGACAGTCAGTGTGTGTAATACTTTTTTTGCTCTCTATAATAAAGAATTTTTCCCTGAAATTCAAAGATTAGTTTAAAGTTGATATTAGAAAACAGATGTTCAATTACATCAAGTACTGGATAACTCGTCTTTTGGGAAAGCAGTAGATAAATGTTTAAAATACGTCATTTCGTGATGAATCTCAGAAATAACACTTAAAACCAGACTACTTAAATACCATCATTTTAGTACAATATTACAATATAAATGTATACTTCTTACATAAGGGATTTATTAACGGTAAATCCTTTAAGATGTTACCTAGTATATGATGTTATTACTTAAGAAACATTCCAGTTTCTAATAATACTTTGTTGTGATTACAAGACAACTAGATCAAGTTAACAATTCTGCCAAATACAACTGTTTTCAAAACAAAATTTGTGTGACAAAATTTCAATTTAAAACAGAAAAAAAAAACTACAAGTTCACATAAGATGGAAAAAGAAAAAACGTTAAACATTGACAATGCAAGTATTAAAAACAATAACCCAACGGATTACACTTTATATTCTATAAAGCTTACATCCATATAATGTCTTCAGGATACAGTATCTGAACAATTTCTCTAGGTTGTTAGTAATGGATTAAACTCTATATTCTATGAAACTTACATCCAAATAACGTCTTCAGTATCTGAACAATTTCTCTAGGTTGTTTGTACTGGATTACACTTTATATTCTATAAAGCTTACATCCAAATAACGTCTTCAGGATACAGTATCTTACAAACAACCTAGAGAAATTGTTCCTGGATTACACTTTATATTCTATAAAGCTTACATCCATATAATGTCTTCAGGATACAGTATCTGAACAATTTCTCTAGGTTGTTTGTACTGGATTACACTTTATATTCTATGAAACTTACATCCAAATAACGTCTTCAGGATACAGTATCT